GTCTGTGCCATTTACCTACACAGAGACACGCAGAACATGCAGGATTCATAATTAAATAGTATTTTTGCGGCTTAATATTTACAGATACTAGTCCATATCGCGTCTCTATTTAAGTGTACTGACTTTTGATGAATTCATCCAAACTTTGATAAACTCCGTGACATTCCGCGTCATACAGTAAATTCCATTTATATGACTGGATTCCGCGATTCCTTCCACATTTTCTGCATCGCGGAAATCATAGATAATATTCAGGTGTTTTGCAACTTCAGTGTAACGTTAGTGGATTGTGATTTATTGCAACTTAAGCAACGTCTGCTGCTGCCACCTTACCTTTGAGAGACAACTGGTGCGTGATCACTGAAGCAGCTCCAGTTAGCAAGCGCTTTTGGAGTGAGAGTGAATTCCGCTTTGATTGGTCGGACTCGTGACTCCCAACAAATCAGATGGGCGGTGGGTGGAGATTGCTTTAGGCCACAGAGTGGTGAGTTCTGACAGGCTGCATCAGAGCCAAATAGCGCGTTTCAAAATTAAGTTATTTTATCGGCGAATCGATTTTGAAAATGACAGATACCGATAATCATAAAAATGCTTAATATCGGCGCAGATAATCGGCCAGGCCGATAATCGGTTGACCCCTAGTGCGTACCGACCGGCAGAAACATAAATCTGCACCTATGGCACGGACAACGAAACAAAACCTCGTCAGAGCCGTAATGCGGCACAGAAGTGTGCAGTGTGTGCTTGCCGCGCATCTACATTTGAAATAACGAACCTGAGCGCGCAAAAGACGCGATGTGAATTTTCTTCTCTGCATGTCATGTGTGGGGGGCTCCGTTTTTATGATGAGAGGAAAGATTGAGAAAGCGCTCAAGGTAAATTTTGAAATGTACCAGGTTTATATATAGGCTATATATAAAGTTGATAAGCAGTTAAATGTGTTGGTTTACACACCAAGAAAAGTGTAAGCTTTTAATACGTCCAAGAATAAAATGATTAATTTCCTTAGCATTTTAAATTTGATTTACAGAAATTTTGTGCTGTTTTCTAACAGTTTGGACTTGAATAAAGAGAAAACTTGCACTTAAACTTTTCACAGGCATTTTGTTTTCATAGTTAGAAAGATATCGTGATGTATCATTATAGAATTGTCTAGCAATATATCGGTTATCGCAGAATCGCTGTATCATGATATTACCGTATCGTTTGCCATGTATCGTGATTCATATTGTATCGTGAGGTACCCTGCGATTCCCACCCCTAGTTTTTACAGACTTAGACTCATCTCTTGAGCCACTGCACAAAGGAACAAAATGTAACCAACACAGTAAATCAGTGCAAATAGTTTTAATAAAGTTCAAATAGTTTTCAGTGCAAAATGAACCCTTTAAGTCAGTATGTGAGGCTCACTATAAAGCCATTATAAAGCTTGGAAGAGCTGGGACATTTTTTATATAACTCTTGATTGAATTCGTCTGAAAGAAGATAGTCATATACACCTAGGATAGGTGTTAGTGTGAGTAAATCATGGGGTAATTTTCATTTTGGGTTAACTATCCCTTTAATGTCAAACTGAACATAACTATAACCCATGAGGTGATAGGCTGTCAGTCAGTGTAGTTACATTGTTGAGCCAGTAGGTGGCAGCAAGGGACAGTCTTTATGAATCAGACATCATTAAACCATTATTTTAAGGGCTGTGTATTGCCAACAAAGTCATGATACGATACCTATCCCGATACAGAGGCCACGATACAATACATATTACGATATGGGACTGCACTGAATTTCACCTCAGCAGAATTTAGAAAAACAACTGTTTATTAAACATTGCATACTATAGGACCATTGCTAACTATAGAGAGTTGACCTCTGCATTATGAAGGGTCTCCAGTACCACAGTATTACAATAAAGGTAATGGCAGATATGTTTCATGTTAACATTGGGCATTTCCCACCAGTTGCAATATTCTGATTGTTTGCATCTTGTTTTTCAGCCCATAAATAATAGTGTACTTGTTCTAATAAATTTAATAAAATCATCTTTACATTGCTGGTAGGTTATCATTGCACAAATTAACACACTCTGTACATTTAAAAAATAAAAATTAGAAGCGTTCTTTACAAATGCGTTGTCTTCACTGTAGCTTGTTATGCACACACATTCAGTCATTCACACAGATCATGCTGCGCACACACAGACATTCAGCAACACAGAAACTTCTCAGAGTTGCCCTGCAATTCTATCAGTAAAATAGCTTAACTGCTGAAGAGCTCCATTATCTTTCTCAGCAAGGATTTGGTAACATTATTGTTTCTGAAGCAATTAAAGCCACAGCTTCACGGTTAATAGAGAAAAATGGCAAAAAACAGAGGTAATACCGACCGATACCGAACTGCGGTCTATCAATCGGTTCATTATCATATCACATATCTGCATATCACCAATATAAGCCCTAGAGGTAACTGCTGAGTAATGAGTCTGATATCAGCAGCTTGTTCTTTATTAGTGTTTATCTGTGATGTGTTTGTCAGGATGTGGAGCAGGTTTCAGTGCGTGTGACTGATGGGACAGAAGCTCAGGATTCAGTCTGGAGCGTCAGAGATCAGAGATCCAGAGACACACAGGACTCAGAGCTCAGCCTCACTTTACTCTGTTATACTGACGCTCAGGATCATGAATCCACTGATCAAACCTCTGACTGTAACGCTGGAGAACAGCAGATGCTGCAGACGCCGCTGAAGATGTGCTCCGTCAAACTGGTGGACTGCAGGAACCTGATAGAGAGCAGAGGAGAAGAAACCACCGCAGAGAAAGAACAACACAGTGATGAGGAAGAAGATCAGAACAAGGAAGAGGAGGATGATGATGAGAATAATGGGAATGATGATGATGAAGATGATTACGCTGAGAATAATGATGATGTTGACGATGGTGACTTTGTTCCTTCAGGTATGTTTCTTCCTTTAATGACCAGATATACTGAATTGACATAATTCTTTTAAAATTGTTAAAATATTATGCATGTGCAGACAAAGGGTGTGTGATTTTTTTTATTTTATTTTAATGTATTTTTTTATTATTATTTGAAATAACATTACAAATGTTGGATGACAGCATAAATACCAAGAAAAAGGAAAAGAAAAGAAAAAAAAGAAAGAACAAAACACGCAAAGGACACAAGTACAGCAAGTAATTAATACTTCAGGGTAACTTAAAAGAAACATACAAATAAACCCCGGCAGCAAATTACCACACAGAATAATGCATCATCAATTTAAAACAATTCTTTTAGAGCTTGGGCTATACTACTCCAATAAGTGACAGTTTGTATTCTAGCCCCATTAATCCTTGCAGTGCTGCGTTCTAAACAAACAATATAATGAAAAGACAGCAGCCAGAATCTTCTAAGATCCATGTCAGGAGTGAACCATTGCTGTGTAATTGTTTTTTTAGCAGCAGTGAAACCAGACATTAACAATCTTCTCTGAACTAATGTAAAGTTGTAGAAAGAATCATCATTTAACAACATAAGACAAGGATCAAGGTCAAACTGCAACTTTGTGATATGTTTTAGTACTTGAACTACATGTTTCCAAAAATTGGATATAACTGAGCAGTCCCAAAACATATGCAAAAAAGTACCTTTGGAGCTATTAGGGCCTTTCGCACCGCAGGAACCTTTTCATAGTACCAGAATTGTGGAACTGGGAGCGATTTTAGTACCGGACTGCCTTTTTTGAGAACCAAATTAGCTCCTACTCCGGAGCAGGGTCTAACCAGCACAACTGGTACTAATCGTGACGTAAGTAGCAAAATGGCGCCATCCAGCTCAGCTCGGGAGATAGCGGTGGAAGACTCCCTAAATTTCTTCTTAATGGGAGAAGTAGCGTCCTCCCGAGTATGAACAAGTGTGGTCTGGGTCGACATTTTCGATGATTTCACGTAATTTAGCATTTAGTTGTGCTTCAGAGACCTGAAAATATGCGAGTGGTGTGGAGAGCGTCTTTTCAAAGCTGCACCGCCATTAACGCATCACGTGACCTCAAAGGGTGTGTGATTTTGACAAAAAATTATATCTCGATATTTTCTGGGATTTTATCGATAATGATAATTTGACTATATTTTGCTGAGTGTGTTATTGTGGTAGTATCTTAAGGACCACCGTGGACAGCTGACTCCTTAAAGGGGTCATATGATGTTGCTAAAAAGAACATTATTTTGTGTATTTGGTGTAATGAAATGTTTATGCGGTTAGCAGTTTAATGCCTACAATTATGGCTGGTAGGGACTACAACAAGCTTCTTACCGGGTTTGTGACATCACAAACCCTGCAATTTACATGAACCCCACCCCTGGGAACACGCAACAAAAGGGGCGAGGTCATGTTGCGCTGCTTTAGAGAAGAGGAAGAGTTGTTGCCATGCCGTCAAAACTAGGGGTGCACAAAAAATTTATTTATATATGAATCGCGATTCTGTCTTCTAATGATTCTAATGGATTCACAAGTTTTAAATCAATGATGCCATGCTGTATTAAAGCTTTAATCAGGATAAAACCGTATATTAAAAGCTAACATAAGCAGGAGCATTTACAAATAACAGCATATCTAAAAGTATGAGACAACAACAAACAAAAAACATAGGCCTACCATTAAAAGCCCTTTTATAAAGAATATTATTTTTTTAAATTATAGCAGTTTAATGCCTACAATTATGGCTGGTAGGGACTACAACAAGCTTCTTACCGGGTTTGTGACATCACAAACCCTGCAATTTACATGAACCCCACCCCTGGGAACACGCAACAAAAGGGGCGAGGTCATGTTGCGCTGCTTTAGAGAAGAGGAAGAGTTGTTGCCATGCCGTCAAAACTAGGGGTGCACAAAAAAATCTATTTATATAAGTTTCAAAATCAATGTTCTAAAGCAGCGGTTCTTCATCCTGTTCCCTGTGTCCCCTGCTCTGCACAAACTCTGCTCTTCATCTCTCTCTCTCTCTCATTCAGATAATCAGCTCGTCAGCTTCAATAATGAACTGTGTTCCAATTATACACTTTATGTGTATAGACAGACAGATACTTTTCACATAGCTATGAGAAGTGTTAAGCATGGACGCGCATGCGGTCGCCGTGCTGTATTAAAGCTTTAATTAGGATAAAACCATATATTAGAAGCTAACATAAGCAGTAGCATTTACAAATAACAGCCAGGGTTGGGAGGGTTACTTTTAAAATTTGTTCTGTTACAGTTGCAAATTACTTCATTAGAAAAGTATTCAGTAACGTAATCCAAGTACCACAATATAAAAGTAATGTAATCTGATTACTTTTGGATTACTTCAAGTTACATATGTAAATAAGTAAAAAAAAGCAATATCTAAATACTTTTATTTAATTATGACTTTAAAATTAAAACTAGTAAAAACTAGGGATGCACCGATACCATTTTTAAAGACCGAGTACGAGTACCGATATTTTTTTCCTGGTACTCGCTGATACCGATACCTGTTTTTTTGGGATGTGGCAGTTTTCCAAGTAATGACACAGTGAGACTAATAATTACAGCTTCTCTGTAATTATGAACAACTGTAACTCAAACAATTTTTTTCTGCTTGTCACAAGGTTGTCAAAGTACAAACCATTTTCACAGTATCTAATAATTTCCATAACCAAACCAAGGGCATAATAAAATAATAATATTATTATTATTAATAATAATAATAAAAAAACATTTCTTTATCAACCTGTCACAAAGTTGTCAAAAAGCTGCAAACTAATTTCACTGAACAGATGTTTATAACATAACACTGTGTAGCAGTGTTCACTGTTGTGTAACAATCAAAAGTGTACAGTGAAATATAACAGTGAACTGTCTAATCATTGTGAGCAACACAATAATTGTAAGTGTTCATAAGCCATTAGTTAAGGATGTTCCTCAGAGCATTTGTACAGTATGTTTTTACTTTTGCAATAATTTTTGCAAGATGAAAAGTACAAAAGGCCGTCAATCAGTTTGCATTATTTTTCAAAAGTAAGTGGCAGGTTTTTTTAAGGAACAGAAGCATCTCTGCATGTTCAGCTACAAGCCTGCTTCTGTTGTCAGACAGAATGTGTGACACTGAGCTGAGGAGTCTTTCACTTTCCACACTGCTGCATTGGGCTGAAAGATATTTTTGTGCCATTTGAGCCAGAGCAGAAATCGCAGATTATTAACTGCCCAGTACATGAAGGGTTTCTCTGAACGACACACAGTGGTCTCTCCAAGGTATGCTTCCAGCTGTATGGTGATGGCTGCTGGAGCTCTGCTCTCAGATGCAGATGCACATCAATCTGCAATTTCTTCAGAAACACTGTCTAGACTGCTACCTGGCTTGTCGCTGTGAGACCTTTTGTCAGCTGGTGCGCCATGTGTCTCAGGTGTGGCTGTCTCTCCCACAGACATTTTTTGCAGCTCCAGTATCAACATTTCTTTGGCCTGCCTGGCAGTGTCTGTGTTGGAGAAGAATCGATCTTTATACATTTACATTTAGTCATTTAGCAGATGCTTTTATCCAAAGCGCCTCTGCAAAGCATCAAGCAAAGTGCTCTTCATTGTTTTGATTCCGTGGTCCTCGTCCATTTGTTTCAGCAACAGTCTCTGTAGCACAGTGACAGCAGGAATTACATCTGAGGCTAACGCATCTGAAGAACTCACTTGAGGAGTCATTTCTTCAAAGGGAGCCAAGACATTTACCATCTTCTCCAGAAGATTCCACTGGTTTGAAGTTAGAGTGGCAGGGATCTCGTTTTCAGACACATATACTCCAGTCGCCCGTTTTTGCTCAATCAGAGACTGCACCATGTAGAATGTGCTATTCCAACGAGTCTGCACGTCTTGCTGAAGTATTTTTATTGGTTGACCGAGCTGTGTCTGAATATCCTGTAACCGAGAGTATGTCAGGTTGGAGTGTTTAAAGTGGCTGACTATTTTGCGCCCCACTCCCACACCCTCCGTCACGCCGCGCTGTGACAGCAGACCCTCTGTGACGGCCAGCTGTAGAGTATGTGCCACACACGGAAGACTAGAAACTCCGGCCTCCTCCATGCCCTTTACCATGTTTTTGGCATTGTCACGGACCACAACATGGACAGAACTTTTGGGAATTGCCCAAGTCGCAAGCATTTCCTCAAATACGCTCGCTATCGCTCGACCCGTATGTGAGCCTCGAAATTGCTTTGCATGAAGCATGATTTGCTGTAGAGTGAAATCGCCATCTGTCCACTGTGCCGTTAAGATGATGAGAGACACTGGATTTACGCTACAACTCCAAATGTCAGTGGTAAAGCTAATTGCTTTTATGTCATGCAACATGCTCACGACATTCTTTTTCACTGCGTCATGTATTTGTGGCAATACAATATCTGTGACATGGCGGCGACTGGGAATCTCGTACTTCGGTTTCAAAACATTAACAAGGTGACGAAATCCCATGTTATCAACGACTGAAAGCGGTTGATCGTCAAGAACAATGAATTGGGTAAGCACCTCTGTTATTTGTTTGGCTCTCGGGTTATCTCTTGTCATTTTCTCTCGTCTTGCAAAGGTTTGCTGCAGGGTTGGTTGCTGAGTGCTAACGTTACTGCTAGCGGCAAATTCTCTGTGCTCACTTTTGTGTTTCTGTTTCAGATGTTTTATCATATTACTCGTATTATAAGTACTGCTTTTTGTACCTCCTCTTGATATTTTTGCGGAGCAAAGTTTGCAGTCTGCCATGCGTGGGTTGTCATCATTAATTTTGAAATATTTCCACACCGCCGAGCCTCACATTCTGTCGCTGCTGCCAGAGTCTCTGTGCACTGAAAGTTCTGTCGATGACGTCACGGGATATCGGTCTTTGGTATCGGTAGGGCTGGGTATCGAGTTCGATACTTTTTAGGCACCGACCGAATTGCCTCGATACCATCAAGTATCG